TAATGGGGAAAAAGGGGAGCAGACAGCCAAGACGGTACTTGCTGAAACACAGGGTGCTAACAGGGAGACATAAAGGCTGATGCTGATGGAACTGCTCACTTTTCTCCAGGGACTGTGCTTCTCCTGCTGCTCCTGGTGCTTATCCGCTGCTGCTGCTGTGACTGTGACTCCCCAAAACACCACAAGATGATAAAACTCAGCCTGCTCACCCAAGAATGACCTGGGACACAGGAGCTACTTGCAGGGCGGGCCTCAGCCGTGTTGCTCTCCCCTGCAGAGACACACCCGTGTCTCTGGACAAACAGGAGAAACACAGCCCAGCCACCGAGAGGGTACATCGACACAGGGAAGGTGATGGGGAAGAGAGAACAGGCTGGATGTGCTTGAGCAGGCACAGATGTGCCCAGGACCTTTGCACTGTTCTGGGGAAGGGAAGTGGTACCTGGGCTTGAGCACTCCATGCTCAAAGCACGGAGACTATTTTGTGTGTTCATGCATGTGCAAACTGCTTCCCCTCCTCTTTACAATGACACATCCTTTTCCAAAACAACTAGATTCCCAGAAGGAAAGTTGGCATAGACAACCTGGCGATGGAGCCCTAAACCCACCTCCACCTCACAGCTGGACAGAACGACTCTTCCCGCTTCTTCCCTCTGCTGCACCTACAAATCAGACTCCATCTTCACCTTGAGTGCCAAGAGCTGCCCAGCCACTTCCATCCTCCTCTACAACCTCAGCGACTGCACTTCCTAGTCTGTGGATGAATGTGAACCCCTTGCATAGTACCTGCAATGCCATCCTAGGCCAATACAAGCCACAGATCATCCTCAGCTACTGCAGCCAAAGTAGAGAACAGATGCTCCCCCATGCAAAGCCAGCAGCCTTGGGAACTACCAGGGAGTGAGAGCAAAGAGAAAGCAGGAGAAACTATTGTTTCCCTCCAGCTAGAGGCTGGAATCCTCTTCCAAGCTCACACTTGCTGATCACCAAAACATATGTGGAGCATACTCACACTAAGATCCCTCTGGGATGACTGAATGGGAGGCCCAGCTATGCTGCTTTTCAGCATTTTGGGCTCCAGCCCTTCCATTACAGGCTTAATTTCCAGCAGGACTGAAAACAAAGCATAGCACTGTCCCTAGCTGTGAACACCCGTTAAGAGAGGTAGCACAAGGCTCTGAAGATGCTTCAAAGCACAGCCACAGCTTCTGGGAACCCTCTTAGTCCCTGTAGAGACATTTGGAGCATGTAATCAGTGAGCCAGCTTCCTTTATGTGCTGCATCAACTTTAGAAACAGTTGCCTCACTCGTCCCAGGGGACACAAAAGCATGTGAAGATGAAACTGCTCTGTGCAAGGGAGCAGTGGCTCCTTCCTCCCTATGGCCTTTGCAGAGGGTGCTTGGGGCACCAAAGAGAGAGCTTGTTCTTCATCCTGAAGATTAGCAATGCCTCCAATTTGAAAAACATCACCCCCTTACCTAGCATCTTTACAGTCCCAGGTGGAACCAGGCTTTCAACTGGTATACTCCCTCTGCTTTAGGGCGATACGCTGTGTCCCCATAGGTGATCCCATGATGGGGCAGGGTGACCCTTTTTGCTGTGGCACATGCAGAACAAGAAAGGTCTGATTCTGTCCTGAGAACACTAACCCCAGAAGGCGGCACCCTGAAAGGCAGCGAAGCACCTACTCATGAATGGGAGTGCTAGTACATCCCTTCCAATGTTTCCACCACAGCTGCAAGGCAGGATGAGGCCAGGGATGTTAGATGCAATTCCAAGCAAGTCCTGGCAGTGGCAATACTTGATCAGACTGGCATCAGCACACACAAGTACCTGTAGTTTCAACTCCAACTCCAGAAAAAAATGATTGTATCTTTACAAACATTTAGCCTTAGCTGAGCTCAGCAAGGAGACGTTCTTGTCTGCTTATTGCTCAGATGCTGGGAAGAGTAGCATGGGATTCTGCTTGTTGTCTGTCACTACTCTGTGGACAATGCAGAAAGAGCTGCTCAGATTGAGATAGACTAGAGGCAGCCATAAAATAAACTTTCTTCATTACTCTTTTAGTCTCTGGTTCTGCTCTGTCACTAGCCTGCTTCAGTGCTGTTGTTGAAAGCTGCCCAGCAAGTGTCTTCTCCATCTTAGTTCAGGCAACTCTAATTCCTTTTCAAAGTGCATGTAGAAGCTCAGCAGCAGAGGCCCACGGATCAGTGTCTTCTGTGGTTCCAGAACCAGCAGCATCAAGGCAGCAGCAACTCAACTGCTAGACCCATCAAAAGCAGGCAGCCAGTGGATCTAAGCAGCAGACCTCTATCCCCTGAAGACTAAGTAGAGATTCCCTGGGCAAAGGGGAAAAAGAAAGGTACCACCAGGAAAGGTTTCGCTCATGAGAACTATAGTATCCCCAAAGGAAGCTCAAAGAAGAGAGAATAAAAACCCAGCCCAGGACAAGGCAGACAGTCTGATTATTTCATTCTGCTCCAGTCACACAGCAGCATTCATCAATACATGTAACAATCAAAAGCCCTTGCAGTACTGCAGAGCAGCCCAAACTTCACACACACCTTGTGCTGCCAAGCACTTGCCAAAGATTGTGGCCCACAGCATGTTGGAGTTGCATTTGCAACGGGAGGTGTGGGCTGCCAGTAGCTATCCCAGTACCAACCTCACTGGGCCGCAAAAGCAGAGCCCTTAGGACCTTGTAAATATTCTTCTGCGCTCAGAGGTTTAGTGGGGAAAAGAGAGAGACTGTTAAGTCTTTAATTGGTGGGTCCTTGTTTTACCTTTCAAATCCGCGAGGTACCAGCCCAGGGCTTTGGGCCAGCCTCTCCTGTCGAATCTCACCTACCTTGCTGTTACCCTGTTCTTCTGTAACAGTAACCTAGGCATTGTCCTGTAGCAGCTACCACTGCCACCTAGCAGTCCTCACAACATGGTCATTGTGCATCAGAGCTGGAATAAGGACACGTGTTCCATTTTGCACACTCCTGCTCTCCAGAACTGAAGAATAACTGTTTTCATCAGAAGAAAACAACACACACTGGGGAAGCTGAGTTGGAGAGGATGTGACAACATTGATTGGACTGCACACACTAGTGTGAATTAAAAAAGGAGTCTCCTCCACACACAGGCAGGGTTAAAGAAGAGCATAGACAGCTCCAGAGAGGTTAAGTATAAAAATACTCTCATCCGAGAAGCTGTTAATGGTGAGCAGTTACACACATGCGCAATCATTTTCTAAGCAGAGAATGGTCTGGAACAGTGCAAGGGTAGGTAAATGAATACCCAGGGTCATGACCGCAGCTAGTCATAAGGCTAATTGACTGGAATCAGTAATGAGTCTGCTATTGCATCAGCTCATCCAGGCCTCTCTACCTTCCAACTTTCATTACTTATTAACAAACACATTAATCAGTCACAGCCTGATACTCATTTGTAGGCTCTGTTACTGCCTGCAACCTGTAATATCATCATGCGTTAGAACAAGCACAGCACCAAGTGTCAAGTCCTCAGAGAAGGAGGCTGCAGCAGTAACAAGGCTGGCACTAACCCACTCAGGATCCCCGGGATCTCACAAAGGGACAGAAAGGGAGGTCACAGACAAGGTAGGCCACACATGCCCAGAGCAGAGGTCTATGCAGGAGGAAAAAAAAAAAAAAAAAAAAAAAATCAAAGCAACATACTATCTCTAGTCTCCATCCTTGAAGCTATTCAAAAGCCATTTGGACATGGTCCTGGGAGCTTTGGGTGGCGCTGCTTGAGCAGGGGAATTGGACTAGACAGACCCCAGAGCACCCCTTCCAACCTCAACCATTCTGTGATTCTGTGATCTCTTCCTTTTGAGCACAGCGCTCTGGATAGCATTTGGAAAACACCAGGATCCTGGTGTTTTCCAACCATGCTGTCAAGATAGGCTCCAATGGCCCTGACGTTTTGCAGGGACCTCGGTGATCCTGCAGTCTTCACCTCAGCACACACGTAGGCTCCTGGGAAAGGTACTCCAGTGAGGAAAGCCACCAGAAGCACATGCTGGACAGGGCTAGCTGGAGCCAAGCAGGAGACAGGTGATGCTTCCTCATCACTAAACAGCCAGCTCCGTGAGCCAACCCAACCAGTCTCCATACTTACAGCATCTTCCAAACATGACCATCAAGGGAAGTTTGGAAAAGTACTTTAGGTAGTAATACTCAGATGTCAGAAAGCACTGGGCTGAGGCTACACAAACCAGGCCCAGCCTTCGAAGAGCTGCCCAGCTCTGCCCTCAGAGACCACTACTGTCCTCCCAGTAAGGCAAAGAGTAATCCAGCATGTGTAACTAAGAACAGCCACTCACTTGTAAAAGAGCACATAATCTTTGATACTCTTCCATTCTCAGCACTGACAGCCCACAGGAGCATGGCAGGTCTGAGGATCTTTATTTCACAGTTATCAATTCTAGAGGGATGAGTTACATACTGTAGCATCATAGGTAGGCAGCAAATTGTAGTAACAACATGGTACTCACTTTGGGTTTAATGACAGGATGTGAGACTGCACAGCTGTGCTCAAGGTTCTGAAGCAGCTCCAAAGGCTGGCAGTGAAAACAAGATACTAAACCTGAAAAAAACCAATTGGCCCAACTAGGGCTTAGGAAAAAGAAAAAATATATATTATCACATTGATGCCAGGGAAAAAGGAGTTCAAACAGCAGCAAGTAAGAATATCCCCAAAGGGGAATCAGTAACATGGGCATGGACCGAACAGATAGGAGAGGGAAAAGCTCAGGGCTAGGCATAACAACAGCTGGACCAGATCACAGCAACAGATTTCACTACATGGAGCAACATGGCCCACATTTTTTGTGGTGTGTTAAATTAGTCTGTCTTCATCCCTTCCCAGCCAGCTCACAGTCCAGCAGTTAGTTACAGCACTGTGTGCAAATACAGTTAGTGAGAGTAGTCCGCAGCTCCCCATCCGTTGTAATGGACTAGTGTGATTCATCAGAGGCTTGGAAAGTGTAAGCCACACAACGCACATGAAAACAAAGACAGGTGGAAGCTCCTGCCAACCACACAGCATTGCTTAGAGCCCTGCTTACGCAGCAGTCCCAGACAAGGCTACTAAAGTTGTCTCTCTGGATACACTGACCCTACCCTGTGGAGGGCCACATGGTAGTGAACCACAGCACTCCTCAGGCTGACCTGGACTCTGCTGGCATGCTGAAAACAGAGAGACACTGGAAGTACTGTAAGGGCTTGGACACTCCACAGAGAATTAATATGGCCTGTAGTTCCAGTAACTGGAGAAAACAGAGATCTGGAAAGCAAGAAGAAAAGCAGGTAAGTTCCCTTGGGCCATAGAGGAAAGAGCATATAATGGTCTGCAATGAAGATTGAGCTTTACAGCATTACACACTCCAGCACTGCACTGCAAAAGGGCAGATTTGCTGCTATTGTCATTGAAGAGGCTTGGAGCACAAAGTTACTTGCTCAAGGTGGCAGGCAGGTCAGCTGCAGAGCTGGAACTGACCATTGGTCTACTGGAATCTAGTTTGCTAAGGTCTCCATGCCTCCTCTACAGCACCGTGGCATTTCCTCACATCCAGCTCATGACTGACAACACAAAAGTGTCTACCTGCTCCTCTCCATCTAGTCGCTAGTTCAGCAAAGATATCTGTCACACTATTATACTTATCCCAGATGGCTGTCTGCTAGGCAGTGCCAGCCAGGTCCCTGGCTCCAGAGCATTGACTCATCGCTTGTTTTCAGTTTATATGTAAGTTGTACAGAATAACATCGCATCAGATTTTTAGGAGATCTGAGGTCCTCTCAAAATTCACAGGTAAAACCAAAGCGCCTTCTCTAAGGCCATTACCTTGTCCTTCAGTTGCTGGCAAAGCTGCAGTGAAACTGTGAAGAAGACAAGGGCATCATTTAACCATGGGACAACACATTCCACTTTATGGACATGGCTGACTTCATACCGCTGGTTGCCAAACTCACTGGAGTGGGGGAAAAAAGAGCACAGCTTCACACACAACCGCACAGAACACAGAACTCAACTGTCCTCCATTCTCACAGAAGAGATCATTATGATTTCTACTACATTTAAAACAGCACCTGGCAAAGTTATAGAATGCAAACTCTCAGCCTACCTCCGACCAGATTTAGAGTTAAGCTGAATCTAACAGGGTTAAGGTAGAAACTTTACCACTTCCCTGAAAGGCACAAAGGCAGGAAATGCAGATGGCAATGCCAATAAGCTAATGTTCATTTTGGTTGACAACTCTGATCTCTAGACAAACTCATGGCACCCTATGGGTGGGCCGCATCCTGAAAAGCCACATCTTTGGGCCTTTATGACCGAGTCATTAAAGAAACACTATTATGGGCACCTCATAGTGCACTCACAGGCACAGGCACAGCAAGTGACTCAGTCCAGCTTCTCCACTTAACAGATGCTATAATCAAAACTGCGTACAGCCATTTGGATCTCATCCTCAGCATACTCCTACACCTGTTACACAGCCCTTGTAGAGACTGTACTTACAACATGGCCCCAGGGTTGTGTAAAATGGACCCTCCAGCAGGCTTGAAGTTCTAGAGGAGAAGGAAAAGGTCATTAGGATTTTGACATAGTGAACAAACTACTTAGAAGAAGGATGTTTAAGCTTTGCACTTTCAGTAGCCTGACATCAAGAAATGCCTATACTATATCTGCCTGAATACTCCATTCATATGGAATCCATGTCATTTGATCCCTTCCTGCTCCTTCATGAAAAAAATCTACACAATGGCTGAGTCCAACTTAGCTCCAAATTTTAGCACCACAAAAATAAGATGAGAAGATCCAGAAGAAAAAAAAAAGACAGATTTTAGGAAAAATATCCTTATGGAACGACTGCATTTCAAAAAGCTTAAGAGTTTAATTCTGCTTTTACAGGACATCAAGCTGATCCAAATGCAACAGGTGAAGCAGAAAAGTGTCCATCAAAACTCCACTCAGAAAATTCAAGATGCTACTTCAATGTAAACTGGATTAAAACAATTATGCCCTTCCAAAATTATGCAAAATTATCAAACTATATTGTAAGATAAAGCATTACTTGGCAAAAAATAGTTGCTGGCCTTCTCCAGAACACTGGTATTTTCTTCTGGGCTAAGTGGCCATGCCCCAAACTAGATTTAGAGCCAGTGTTCTGTCTGCAGCAGATCTAAACACAGACACTTAACACCAGTTACAGTAATTTCTGCATTATATTATGCATAGAACATTGCACCATGTAGCATTGCGATCTCCTCCTCACAGTGGGATGTAGGGAGAGGTAAATAAATGAGGCTCAAGAGATAGTAGGCATCACCTTTGTCGTGCTGGGCTGCAGCACATGGAGTTGGTAGACAGTCAGGCACAGCTTATTCAGGTTAATATAGAAATTCACAAGGATGTCTGGAGGCAGAGCAGGGGTGAACATTTTCTGGTGAGAAAATAAGTAGTTTCTTTGTCAGTGAAAGGACCATTATTTCTAATGCTGGGAAATCACTACCTTTTTCTAAGCCATATTACAGTTACCCCATAGTGAGAGGGACATTACGAAACAAACAAAGACTGAGCAGCTTGCAAGCCATGGTTGTTCCTCTTGCTGCACTTGATCAAATGGTGTGTGCATGATGGTGACAAAAGAGGATGGAGCAGTGTTCACAAGGGCAAATCATCCCTGGACAAGATTCCTGGGCAGAGAACGAACTTACTCTCTGAGAACCAGAGTCCTTATGCCCAAGTCATCTGCTTTCCCACAGGAAGATACAGAGCAGCCAAAAATGCTCAGGGTTTGCACCTACTTCAGCTCTCTCTTTCTGCCTCAGGAGACACTTCAGAAATTCACTTCCACCAGGATGCAGCACAATATCCTAACTTGCATACTGCCAAACTGTATGGAGACCTAGACCATCACATACTTACTGTGAGACCACTGGAGGCAATCTCTGGTAGAGTCAGAGTGGCTGGAGTGGTAAGCCGATTTCGGGCTCTTGAGAGCTGTAACATCACAGCATCCATAAGCTACAAGATACCATACAGTACACTGCTGAGTGGCGACCCCTGGACAACTCTGGATAGCATGCTGCAGAATCCTACAGCCTTTTGCAAGTGTTACAACAATACCCCCGCGTGCCCTTCCAGGAATTCAGGGGCTTATTGGGAAGGGGTGGCTCCCCTATAAATGCAGTTTAACTGTTACCACTATCATAGACACTTGTGAGACAGGCCAGGAGTGTTTAATACCAGGGACTGAAGAGAGAACAGCTGTTCATTAGAAGAATTAGAAGAGAACATTGAGATCAATTACTGATGCCAGCAAAGCATTGACAAACTCATCATCAGCTGTTCTGAGGAGCAGGCATTAAGGAAAAACAACAAGCTGTGTTCTAGTTCTGCCCATGCCCACATCACGGGTACAAAAACTGCTGAATGGGCCCCCTCCGGTTCATAACCATCTATGAGCTAGGGCACTACAGAAGAGAACCAGCTCACTGTGAGTCCAATCCTGCCAGAAATCACAGTTCAAAGGCTCTATTCAGGCAGACTTCCTTTTCCAGAAAAAAGTGGGAAGCAACATATGTCTATTATAGAGCTCACGACTGCTAAGATGAAGGCATTTTATATTATGACTGATTTCTCCCCGCTACTTCCACCCAAAAGTAAAAACGAAATAGTTTTATTACCTAGCTTCTTCCTATTAGCAGCCCTTGCCGACGTGGAGACTAAAAAGGTTTAACTTTCTCATGGTTGATACTGTGATGGATTCTAATGAGTAAGTCGAAACACTGGTAGTTCAGAGAGCATTTCCAAGCAGAGGGCTGGGCTTTATTGCCACGCAGCAGCTGGTCTGTATCAGACCACATCAACTACTACTAGCAAGTGAGAAGTCACTTTCAAATCGTCAGTAGATCACGAGTACTAACTGTATTCTTTTGTTTGCTGATGACTGCCTCATTTCTTCTCTCCCCAAAAGCACTGACTGACAGGGAAGAGCATGAGCTGTGTAACCACATCATCCAAAAAAGATCAAGGGAGATGCTCCCAGAATACTGCTCAGATTACCATTCACCATGATGTACAACCCTGTTACTGATGCTAAACTGGTATAGATTCATATCAAATATGAGGTCACATGGAGACACAGGTACATACGGGTACAACTGGGGAATCCATTTCCAGTATGAGACTCAAGACAGTAATATGCATTAACTATGTTTAAAACAACAAATGAAGAGAAGAAAAATGCACGTTCCTACCCAAGTAGAAAGGGCTTTCTCCTCACCTTGAGAACCTCTGAGCCTGTTTTGAACTGGTAGTTTACATCTCTGTTCATAAGCAGGTAAATGGCTTGGTTAACATGGTTTCTAGCATCCTGGATCTGCAAAGGTATAAATATAACCCTATTAAAGAAACACCCTCTACAATACACATTAGGAAGTAGAGGTTTCCCTGATTATTTCATTGGCCCTAAGATAATGGTGACTTCTCAAATGTTAAAACCCATTTCTCTCTGAGTACCAGCCACTCACTAACACAAATCTACCACTGCTGCCCAGATACATTATTGGGTTCTTCACTCAAGGACTGGAGATGCAAAACAGCCTGATAGCTACAACCTGGATTGTCAATAAAAATATTGCTGCTGCCCTGAAGGAACAGCGACATCAGGCACTCTCATCCTGGGAGGACTCTGATCATGACTGTTCAGGTAGGAATTCTCACTGTTGATGGTATACAGCAGTCAGGTCTAGCAACACGAATAATGATTTCTTCCTTAGGAACTATTAGAGCTAAAACCAATGACACAAATTACACTGACAGCAGCAATGAGCAGCAAACACTGATTTCTAATATAGCGTCTCTGGCAGTATTCCAGAGTCCTTCTAAACTATAATTGTTGGGGTTGAGAGTTATCTCCAGCATCAGGAAGCTGCCATCACGCCGCTTGTGTGGAATTTGACCAGACTCAAGACACAGCTAGCTCAAGTCCCTCTCAAGCAAGACCGCTTGCAGCCAGGAGATAATTATCAAAGCAAGGTTGATAGGTGTATCCCAGTGCTTTCATGGGAGCAAGGACAAACCAGAGGAAGAAGAAAATGACCCTGCGAAAAAGTGACTTGTGTTCAGTTCCAGGCAGCAGCAGGAAAATAAAAAAAAAACGAAGGGGTAAATCAGAGGGTGCAATAAATGGAAAAGGTAAGCAGGGAAGCCTGTATGAGAGGTGGTTGCTGGGAGATGGATAACACAGCTTGGGATATTTGTAGTTTGATACATCTACACTGCTCCCTAGCAACCCCAGATCCCAGCTCAGCCTTGTAGAGGCTTCCCTGGCATAGATCTGGGCACTGGTTCCTTGTCATCCAGAGCTCAGGGACCACAGAATAGCCCTGCTCTTAGAAAGCACAAGGCACTGGAGGCTACAGAGAGAAGAGAGAGATGATAAAGTCCACTGTCAGACTGCAGAGAAACTCTGCAGGTACTTGGGCTATGGCATCTCCAAACATCACCACCTCCAGCCTTTACATCTCCCAGATGCTTTCGAGCAAGCTAAGTGTTACCCAACCCAACAATGCCAATCCTGCTATTATAAGGACTTGCTTCATTCCTATTCCCCCTTGATTTTGCTCTGTTTTCTAATCAAGTTCCTCAAAACTCATGTGCCTGCACTTACGTTCCTCAAAAATGTGCCTATACTACAAATTCTTACTGATGACTTTACTTTGGACAGAGAAACAAAACTCCAACTGGCACCACTCACTAAGGGAAGAAACTCACAATACTTTGAGATGCTCATTTTTAATTCAGACCGGACAAAGATCTCTGCATAATCACTGTAAATGCTTCTGCACAGAGCTCTTTAGTCACTCACATTCCATCTGAACAACATTAGAACACAAAACTCTTGCAAGTAAAGGAAGGTGTTTTCCATAGAAGCTGGTAGAAGCCTATCAAGCAGACAGCAGTACAAAATGGCCACAAAATAGGATGCATTGCTGAGTGTTATCACAAAAACTTCGTTGCCTTCTTGCGAGGCGTAAATAAACTCAGTCAGGTTTGGCATCAACATCTCAAGTACACAATTTTCTAGATTTCTACAGAGTTACCAGGTAGAGCTTTCACTCCTCTGCCAAAGCAGCCGTTGGAAACTGCACTCAATACCAATACTGATCACCTAGAAAAATCTGAGCCATGGCATAGTGAAGCACATGGAATACCTCTTTCTCCAACCTACTCAGCTATGACAAAGTTACTGTGGGAAACTATGTCTTCAAGATCAGGCACTACATCAGGTCCTGAAATCAGGTATCTCCCAGCAAAATAGTGGGAGAGAGAGATTCAATGTTCTGGACAGCCACATCCCTTTAACTCCTTAACTGAGAGAACTCAGCTATGCTACAAGACCACAATACAGAGAGATTTGTTCTCAGCATAAAGAAATGCTTCTGTAAGAGAACGAGAGCAAGCTACTCAAAGCCTCTGAAGTTGCTCTTTGCCCTGCTAGCCTGGATTTTACAAGCAGACACAAGGCCAGTACTGCACAGGCACCCTAGGCACCCCTTTCAAAGGATTATGACTGCTATGCAGACAGCCTTCAGTTCTCTGGAGTTTCAGGAACAAGCAGAACCCACCTCTCTCCTAGCACCATAACTGAATTTAATTGCATCTGTTTCCTCCCTTAGCTTTTACCACTGGAGCTAATGTGGGATGGACATAACCTTCCCTCTCAGAAAGCGAGGGGCTACAGCTACTGCTTGGAGGGCACAGATGCTACAAAGGGGTAGGCATCTAAAGTTAACAGTACCTGCTGCAATTTCCACTGCTTGTCTTCCCGAAATGCAAAGTGCAGGAGCTGATTATTTCTGGGCATTTTCAGATTAACATCCTTGAAGAAAGAAGCAAACACGTGAAAGCAAGCAATGCCCATATGCAGAACATGGAGACTGCCAGCCCCACTTCATTCTGTCTCCCAGACCATCTTGGCAAGCTGCTTTCAGCAGTCCTGGCACGGCCAGAACCTCAGTCCTCCTACAGGAAGATGCTAATACAAAGGATAAGTTGAAAGGCATTTAGTGAATCGGGATCCAGGCAGGACGCACAACCTGATCTCAGAAGGCCCCCCAAGGAAATTTGATATTACACAACAAAGGCGGTAAAGGCAAGGAATCCCCATGAAAGTTGACTCCACCACTCACCACAGAGTGTGTGTGTGTGGGGTTAGATGCTGGATCTTGACAGATTTCAACAGCTGCTGAAATGTTAAGGATTTAAGGCCTATTAGAGAAGACTGACAAAGAAAACTTATTGATCGCTGGTCAAGCATAATAAGGATGACCTCTCCCTTGAGGTCATCCAAGTGTAATAAGGATGACTCCCACCCCTTGATGGTAGGACAAAGCAAGAACCACAGCAAGTACTCACAGCTTGACACAGGGCATCTCCCTGCAGCGTCAACACACCTTTCACCTGGTCTGTGCTGGAATGAGAAGAAAGATTGGGGCAACACAAGTCACAGGAGGCAAGAGACACCTACGAAACTGCCAACCCGACACCGCCCCTCCCTGTCCCATGCTAGCCAAGTTCCCCTCCTTCCAGGGGTCAGTTGGGGGATGCAGATGAACTCTACACCTCAAGTCCCCAGCTCTTGGCCTGCGGCCAGCTGTTGTCATATTCTTTATGAGCCACCTCACCCTAACTGCCCTGCCTAAAACATTATGTTCATTTCTGATCCCATGCTTATTTCATGTATTACCTATCAACAATTTGGTTGCAGTTACAAACAGCTCTAGTAGGCACAAACACAAGATATTAGATGAATTACTGACATTGGAGTGCTACATGGTTCATATGGGAGCTGAAAGCTACAAATCCCACCCCCCCAAACAAGAAAAAAAACCTAAATAAACCAAAAAACCACACCCCAAACCCTTTAAAAGGTCTTGCAAGGTGGCTCACATCTACAATGAACAGTGGGGGAAGACTGAAGCACCTGGACCTTCAAGAACTCAGTTTAGCCATACCTTACATTTTAATACACTAGACAGAGACTCTTTAGATCAACACTTTTTAAGATCCACCTTGCAACAACAATGAATGAGAACTAGAATCAACTTTAATACTTTAAGATCTGAAGAATACAACCTTCAAACCCAATACAGAATCATTGCACCATTCTATAAAATGCTCATCATGCTGCTTCTAAAGACCAAGGTCTCCTACCTTGCAACAAGCTTGTGACCTCTGCCAGAGTGCAGCTATTCAGGGCAAGGCCTACGCTGAAGATCAAAAAATAGACAGCTATTTCAGAAGAACTGTACTTCTACAGCACCTTCTGCACAGGTCTCAGTTTGCTCTGTGTGAAGTAGATTTATTATCGCTATTTTAGGGAGATTAGGACAAAGGTTAAGATTTGTCCACAGTCAGAGCCAAGAAACTGAGCCAAGAGCAGAATTCAGGTCTTGTAACTGCAACTCCCTGCACCCAGAATCAGAAAAATGCCCCTTGGCAAAACTGCCGACAGCAGCACGCTGATGCAACACACCAGCGTGTGGTCGGGAATCAATGACTATATTACAGGTGTCAGTAGGACACGGCACAAGTCTGGCTAAGGCAGCCCCTGGAACATGGCTACAGACTGTTACGTTACCCTGCCATGAGAGTTTGTTCATTTGTTTTCCTTAAGGCAAAATCTTGTATTAAAGAGAACCCCTTTGCCCTGGGGGTGCTGCAGAGACCTTTGCCGCCGGCGCTCAGGGAAC